ATATTTTCAAAATAAATTATATCATCCATATACAAATAAACAATAAGAATTTTCATATGCTGAACTTTTTTATAATTATGTTAAAGAAAATACATATCAAGTCTATTATACCATACCCTTTGTTTCAAACCATATAATATTTTTTTCTAATTTGTACATTTTATCTTCTTGCCATTTAATTTTTTATTCAAGAAGATTAATTTAACATCAAATCGATAAACCTTTTTTTCTGCTGTCAATACTAATACTATTCTAATTGTATCAATTTTAAAAAGTAATATTTTTTTTTAAAAAAAGTCAATACCTAAAATTTGAGCATACCTTTGGTAACTAAATAGACTTCATGCTTTTGTGACAAACCATGAGGATTAAATCTTGATTTACACATTCACTTGAGTCCAATTGTTTCTTTTCTTTTTTTGACAAATTTACTAGCCTTCAAGTCTTATTTTTTTTCAATAACTTATAGTTCATCATTCTTCTATCTGAGTTATAGTTACACCTTCAAAACAAAACAAGTAAATTCTAAAGCAAAACATATAAAATTATCAAATTGATAAATTTTCTTAGAGGCATTTTAGTATCACTAGAATCATTTGAATTAGAAGATTTGTGTATTGCAATTATTAGAATTTCAATCGCTTTAAAGTTTTAAACTTCTTCATTAAAAATAATATTATGACTTATGATTAATTTTTTAGTTGTAGGATTATAAAGTCTAAAACATTTTATTTCATTACTATAACCTCACAAATATTAATTTAATTAGTCATCAATATTATTTCTTTTTTTTAGGAACATGAAAATAAGAACACAACTAAAAACATTCAAGTGACTCACATTTGACTTTCTGTCTAATCATGCTTCATATAATATTTTTTCAGCTTACTACAAAAAGCGATTTAACAAATACTCTATTATACCCACAACTTCTTTCCATAACTCTTTTTGTACTATTTTTGTTTAAACAATCTTGACCATAACTTGATTTTTTTTTTTTCGATCTACTATATTTTATTGAGAGGTGTAGCATGCAATCAGTTTTCTATTAATATCTGTATTTTTATAAAAAAAATCATTGAAAGTGAATTCATCTCATCTATCAATATGTAAAATCTTGATAAAAAAAATTATTTTATTTTTTTTACATATGTTTTGAATTTTTTAAAATATAGAATACTTTAGGTTTTTCTTTCAGAAAAAAAAAAATCATTCTTAGACGCGCTCACCGCGGATGCGGCGGGCAAGTTGGACATCCTTGGGCATGATGGTGACGCGCTTGGCGTGGATGGCGCAGAGGTTGACGTCCTCGAAGAGGCCGACGAGGTAAGCCTCTGCGGCCTCCTGCAGGGCCAGGACGGCGTGGCTCTGGAACCGGAGGTCCGTCTTGAAGTCCTGCGCCACCTCCCGCACCAGCCGCTGGAACGGCAGTTTGCGGATGAGGAGGTCCGTGCTCTTCTGGTACTTGCGTATCTCTCGCAGCGCCACCGTCCCAGGCCGGAACCGGTGCGGCTTCTTCACCCCGCCGGCCAGGGGCATCGTCTTCCTCGCCGCCTATCCCAACACTAATCTAGCATCATCAGAAACAGAGGAACAACGATAAGAACAACAACGACAAGTGATCGTGACCTTGGTGGCGAGTTGCTTGCGGGGAGCCTTGCCGCCGGTGGACTTGCGCGCGGTCTGCTTCGTGCGAGCCATTAGGGTTCCGTTCACGAGAGTGCCGTTTCGGCGTAAGGCATGGCGATCGTGCGAGGGGGTTATATAGAGGCGAGGAGAAGGGGAGGCGGTTATGGGGGGAGTGGCGATGAGTTCGTTACCAGCAGAGAGAGATCGGACGGTGGGGAGTTGTGTGTCTGAACTCGCGATCCGTGCGCGCTTCTCTAGAAGCTTCGACTTCGATGCAAATGATCGCCACAGTAATCCTCGTCCAAATGCCATCACTGATCGCTATTCGATCGCAACTGCCGACAAGCGATTTCACACAACCAGCAACGATACTAGCAAGTGTCGATGGACTCAATAAGATAAGTGATATAGCACATTTTAGCATCCTCCATCTGGCAGCAGACAAAACACTTCCAAGCTGACGCAAAGTGACACCTCGGACCGGAACGAGGTGATCACATGACCTCCGTGTTGTTCCGCAAAACTTGGAATGACGCCACATGACGCCAACCCATACGGATCGATCGGCGCTCGTCTGCAGGATAAAGTCATCCTGCTCAGTGTCATATAAGTCGACACAGAACACCGCAGAGCTGCTCTGCAAAACTCGGGACGGCGCTGCATGGAGGTATAAGAGACAAACCTTCACCCCCC